ATATAATTTTATTTACTTCCATATACATTTCTTCCATGTGTATATATATATACACATACAAGAAATGTTAAAAAGACCATTTATTTATAAAGTCAAAATATTAAAATTATTATTTTTTATCAAATTGCACACACAGAGTTAATGTGAGAATCAAGAAATCGTCGACCTTTGTTCCGTGAAAAATATTGACCGTCTCATGACAATCTTCAATATTTAATAACTTAAATCGCGCTAAATGTTACGAAATACCTTAAAGTATTGCGTAGTATTTACGCAACGCTTTTCCACATCGCTGCAGCATTAATGCGCATTTGATTGCACGCACTTACTTATCTGTCACTATTTGTTTTGTGCAATCAAAACTACATCGCACATTGGAAAGTTATTATATCTTTAGATACATATCATATCGATCACACATGAGTCTGAGATAAATATACAGTGATAAATGCAGATGATAAAGATTTCGCTTTTCAATTGTTAAACAAGGTCGAATAATAAGATTATCTTGCTGGAAAAAAATAATGGCATTACTTTTTTTTATAATCGACAGTGTGTTCAATTGTAACATGTTACAAGGCTTGTAATTATTGATGTTAAATCAGAAGATAAAAAAATTAATTCTGTTCTAAGAAATACAAAAATTTATATCTGTCTATATAATCATCGCAAGTACATACAAAAAAAAAAAAAAAAAAAAAAAAAAATGTAGCAATAATTTGAGTGACCAAGTCAACAGATATATTTAGGATTTGCCAAATGTTGATGGGAATGCATTGTTTAAAATCGACCGTATAACCTGCCTTCTTCTTGAACACGTTCCCGAAGGCGAGTCCGCTGAAGGACTGCATTTTGCTCTGCATTCCAGTGTGCGATCCTCGGAACAACGATCGTGCCAGGAAGGAGATTCACTATCGACAGAGCGCGGCAACTCGCCGCAGGAAAAACGGTCTCGCGACGTTGTCGAGGCGTAAAACATTTGATTCTCGCATTCGCGCGATCCTTCTTTCTCAAACGAAAGAGAGACAAATCTCAATCGCAATGATCACACAACCGATCTGCTTTCACTGATTATCGGGAATATCCGCTTTTTTCTCGCCGACACCTGAGAACGCACTCCCGAATGCATGTCTAAAAATACTCCGCGAAATATTCACCGAGAACAACATGGGGAAAGAGAGAAAGAGAATTGTTCTTTTTCTATTATTTTAAGTATCAAATTAGCTTCTCTAAAACATCGAGCGCGTCAATGCGGGGGGGGGGGAAATCGCGCAAAACAATTCTGTCTCTGAAAAAGATACAGTTTGCACAATTTAACAGATTCAATTTTTTAACTACATAAGTATAATTTTTATGTATATGTACATATACATTTGTTCGAACATTTATTTTTAATCTCAAATCCCATTAAATAAACAAATTATATTAATTTTTCGCGCATATGTATTATGTGTCAAACACAACACATAAATTGCTATCGTGAATTCCAGGCTTTGCCATTACACGCGAAAGTAACCCATGTCAGCTGTATCGTTAATAATGAATACACACGTGTCACCCGAACTCTTTAACAGACAGACGACGTTTCTTTTCAAAAAACAAAAAAAAAACAAAAAAAAAATGACTAAAATAAGTTAGCTGGGCGGAAGTTTGTTTAGGCAAAATAGATCCTCTTTTTTTATCACGAATCAGTCACAGTCTCCATGCCGGATTCGGCGTTTTGCACGTGCGAGATAATTTTAGTCGACAATCGAAAGTGACGAGGGAGTAAATATTATCTTTCTGTCGCTGGCCGTCACACACATTTCGTAACTCAACATTCTCGACCTTCACAAATCCGTGTGTATTGCATGGACATTAATGTTGACAATTGTATTCGACATTCTCCCGATTATTATAGCTAACATATTCTCAATATTCGTTTAATTTGATAAAAATTATCAACTTTTTTCTCAACGTGCGAACAAATAAAATTTAATTTTAGCGACAAGGTGGATTTATACGTTTCTCGTAATAAACAAAACAACACACGCCACACAAATAACTTTCGCAACGAGCATAGAACTTAATTTCTCGCTCTCCGAGAGTCGAGTTTTATTTATCTCGTATATATATATATATATAAAACACAACGCTAACTTCGAAGAAAGAAAATTCTCCCGATCTAATCGCGAACGAAAAGAATTCGTGATTTGCGCGCGCAAAACTGACGAAAAAAAAGGCACGACGAGTTCTCTCTGAGAGAAGAACTTGCGACGACATCTATACAAGATGATATAAATAATTCTTCACACCCAGGGTATTTAAAACATACAGAATATTCTTACTAGCCGATCTAACTCTCTCAACGCGGTGAACAAAGGCGAATGTGCGGCACTCGGAATTGCATTATTTGCGATGTATGTCGTAGAAAAGAGACGTCATCTCTTCGTCGTTATCCGGTTGCTATCCGAGGATACTCTCGCGACACTGTTTTCTCTCGCATATGTGCGAAAGAGACGAGTTTCTCTTCTCGACAAGAACTCGTCTGTCGCGACGATATCGGATAAAGAAAAAAAAAAAACACGATTGATACAAAACAGAAAGAAGGAGAGCAGAGATACACACAAGCCGTGGGAGAGAGAGAGAGAGAGAGAGAGAGTGAAAAAAAAGACGCAACACACACGTGACGTGGATAGAAACGACAGCGTCGGCGACGTCGCGACGCCCGAAGACCGTCGTCCGAGAAACGTTTTCACGGAGACGTGCAACTGCGACAGCGACGAGAACGTACTGCCAGAGGCGAACGGCAAGCGTGCACTCGTGACCGAGAATCGCAGCGACCAGCCACTTGCGACACTCCCGTGTTGTACACACGCAAGTTTTGGCGAGCGCGATCGGCATGTTGCCGCCGCGCTTCGCCCGATCGACGCCGATCGTTCAAGGCCGTTACGTGCGACCTTAACCCTCACGCCAATTACGAAGAATTACGTTTCATTTCGCGCGACGCGTACATATATATATATATATATATATATATATATATCCGCATGGAAGAAAACATAAGACGGACAGAATTTCGTCCGGAGAGATTTCCGAGCTTCTTGAAATGTTATGCTCGTTACTTTTCGAATTATATCATGTGTTATTTCGCTACGTGATAGATCTCTTGCTCTCTCATTAAACTACAAACTTCAAATTAGACTCAACGTATACAATACACATAAATTGTCACGCATGAATGTGCGCTAATAGAAGTACATGTCGATAGAACAATTACGAACGCGATGATGTCTTTTGTACGTATCGGGCTCGCTTTCCCTGTCATTCATTATCCCTTAACAATGATGATGAAGCGGGTTTAAGCGCCGCATGACGAAACGACTATGTCCGGTTACTATTTCTGAATGTCCGTGGGAGGCGCGACACACAGAGTTTACGCGCGATTATAATCTACGCATACATTCTCACGTACACGTGAGAACCACGTACGAACCGCGAATTTGGTTCCGTATGGCCACATATGCGGTTTATATATATTTGCGGTTAACATATAATGCGCGACGCATCATTTTGTTATATAAACAAAACATCGAATTATTAATTATAAATATATATTATCTTAGACGCTTGTTTTTAAAATTTGCGAAAACTATGTCACACACACACACACACAATTCTTTTATCAGAGATAATAAATACGTAGATTTATTGTGGCTTTTTGGTTCTTGCATACGACGCGCGTATATGTTGTGATATTTCGAAAATATTTACCGGAAAAAAAAATAATGTAAAGTGTTTGCAGTCCGAATAATACAACGGAGTGTTATTTTATCTCGTATATGCGTATTATATGCATGCGATGTGTCTACATCGCAGACACAGAACTACACAATGATCGTTACTATATTTAAGCAGAGTTGGACGTGCATGCGAAAACAACAATAGTCAACACACCTGCTATGTAAATTACTCTCTTGTTACACAAACAACAAATTATCTCTATATCTCAAAGTTCTCGCATAAAGTCAGAAGTGCTCGCCTGCACGGGCCTTCTCATGTTTAATGTTTTTTTCTGATTTCGATACGTGATCGTTTTGTTACGCGCGTCGTATAATTCGGAGCAATTTTGTGTGAAAAGAAAAAAAGCTATATTTTTGCAATAGTTTCACAATTTTTATCAGATAAAAAATAAAAGTTTAACCAAAAGTTATATTTTTTTTAAACACAACGAATGTTGGAATTTATTGATATTTATTTATTATTACTCGCGCAAATTAAAAAAGTTTAATTTATCAGAAAACAATAGAATTTTAAACAAAACAATACTTATTATACGTATGATTACTGTTGAATATTTTTTTATTGAGTTTTTATCGCTAGTTAGTATAAATTAACCATCTAATGTTCGTTATTACAGCACAAGAATTTTCTTAATCTTGATCATTTAACAAAACAATATGATATTGTGTACACATGCTTCGATCATGATTTTCCCGGGCACGATGTGTGCCCCGACCACGTAAATCGATTATCGCGATTTCTTGACATGGCGCGCGCGACCGGCTTATCAACAATTTGTCATCGTGTTACGATGACATGACGCGAGAGAGCCCGCTCCGTTATTACATGTCAATCGAACGAATAATCGTGTCTAAGCGATTATACACGGGAACCGATTATCGTTTTTTTTTTTTTTTTTTTTTTTTTTACCGGAAAACGCAATAGCTTTTGATCAATTGATGCGCCGAGGTTATTCCCGGTTTATTTTTGGAAACGATCTAGGAATTCCGATGTAAAAACACCGTCACGTTTCGCATTGACTCGTACTTTACATCCCGCGAGACGTCTACGTATATAATTCTGCGAAATTATTCGCGGAAATTTGTTGAATTTTTTAGTCGCATATATCTCGTAGAGATAAATCGTATAATCTTCTTTTCGCGTAAATCCTTATTTACATACTTATAAAGAAAACAAAACTTATAAGTAATACGCTACGCCGCGTATCATCATTTTGAAAACTCGTCAGTGAGCCTCCGAAAAAGCGGCCGACGTGACACAGAGACTGGAATGCACTATCGCAGTATTAACTATTATTAGCGCACTTTCTATTTGCACGTCGCTCGAAATAGAGAGACGCTGTTCTCCGCCACCGCGTGGTTGATTTCAAACGGGTGGACAGAGATATAAAATCGACGAGATTTTTTGCGTTTCAAACGCGACGAGAAAATGAACATGTGTGGCAACAAAAAAAAAAAAAGAAAAGAGAGCGCTTCGAAAAATAACTAGGAAGTAACGGAAGTCGTGACATTTTTGCAACTGTTACGAAATTCTTTCTCTTACAACGTAATATCTCGGAGCAAAGCATTTGTGAAGTATTCACAATTGCGATTACAATGTTTATTTTGTAATAGAGTTCAATTACACAGTGATTAACTGACTCTGTGTCATAAATATCATTTGTACATAATTAAAATCTTTTTGAATTTTTTTTACACATACTTACACACACACCACAAATATATAAGAAAAATAATGTAGAAAACAAGGTGCATTTGATCTGAATTTTTAATAAACGTCTTTGTCATTAACACGTAATGCCTGCGTATCATCGTTATGTTCGATATCGATTTTATATCAATGAGATAGTGATTGAAACAATCACACACAAGTTGATGTTAATAAAACCGGAGCCAGATTATATGGAAAGAAAATCTCTTATATAATTCAATTGACTTGTATGTAGACTGACTGCAAGTTCAACCTCAAAAATTTATTACAAATTTTGCATAAAAATTTGCAAATCATTGATGTTAAGCGACATATAAAAAAAAAATTAAGTTTATTAAAATTATCCCACGTTTATTCTGACAAACAAGTTTGTGAAATAATAACACGTACATACATGTGTATATGTACATATATAAATGCTAGTTAAAAATAAATACTAATTAGACAATATAATGATTATATTCAATTATTTGCACTTAACACTTAAGTGCAACAAATATAGTTAAGAGAGAGAGAGAGAGAGACAGACAGACAGAACTGTAGAATGACACTGTCTGATGTCATGATGAAAAAGTAATAAATGTATATAAATTTTCTCTACAACACCTACATATAATAGAAATATATTATTTATGTTAACACCTTATGCGTTTGCGTTTACAAAGCTTTTGCGTAAGCAAGTGCGCCATCTAGCTTGAAACTGTTTTAACTCCGATATAATTATCGTTATCTGATTACTACTCGGCGAATAACGTCCGCATTTAAACATCAAATATTTATACTTTTTTTTTTTATTCATATCTCTACCTATTATAAATTACATTTCTGTGAAGAAATTGTTTACATTATAAACAATGCATTGTTTTATCTTCTTCTTCCTTAATATTTGTTGTATAAATATTTTTATACAATCAATCATTGTAACTACACAACACACAGATCCCAAGTTATTGTAATACAAACTATATATTATAAATAGCTCAATAATATGGTGATCAATGAAATGAATGCGCAAAATGAAAAATCGCTGTTTTTTTTTTTTTTTTTTTTTTTTTTTTTGCAAGAAATGTGTCATTAACACCTAATATTAACGCACGTATATACCTTTTGTTAATAAGCAGAACCTTAGAACCTAATAGGACAAACTTCTTTTTCAAGTTGCAAATCTGCTTCATGATATATCAGGAACAAACCTTATAAGACAAATCTTGAACTATAAAAACCTGTGTATACGGATTAATAAATGTGATACATATGTGAAATAGCATGCGATCATATCTTTGCCATAAAAGCGGAGAGTTAAGCAAATAAAAGATGTCGGGTCGAACATGCGGCCGATCTGTCATCGAGGAATTTATCCAGCCACTTTTTTTCCCGAAGGGAATTCCACGCGCGGCATATTAAAAAAAATAGCTCCGGGGTGTGCAAACGCATATCGTGCGAACACCAGAGCGCGTATAACACGTAAACGCTTGTGGACGTCGGCAATTTACAAATGACAGAAGTTATAGTAGAAAGACGGAGGATAAAAAGAGATGGAGGAATAGCGGAGCAGACAGAGAGAGAAAGAGAGAGAGAGAGGCGGTGTAACGTAACCTCACCTCGTCAACAGCGTCGACGTCCTTGCCGTTTTTCGCCTTGTCCTTGCTGCTCTTCGCCTCCTGGAACAGAAGCAGAGTGAGTGCCGGTTTCAACAACGTACGCGCGACGCTGAGATTTTAGAGGCGTTTTTCTTCGCACTCGCGACATTACGAAGCAGAAGGCGAGTATCATAGAGAGAGAGAGAGAGAGAAAGAGATAGATAGATAGAAAAAAAAAAGTACGTAAGCGAAAGACACGAATCGAGAAATTTGCGCGTATGAGAGAAATGTTATAATACCATTGTTAATCGTTCCAGAGGCGCGCGGCCGGAATAAACCAGTAGCGTGCGTCGTCGTCGTCGTCGTCGTCGTCGTCGTTCGCGGCGACGTACGCGCGTTCCGCGAGAGCCAAGAAACCGCGAGGCACACAGACCGATCGCGCGCAACGCGTGCGCGATTAATCTCTCGCTCGGTAAGCGAGAAGAATCAAAGGGACGGCGGGGGGGCACAGGACGGCTTCGCACGCGAAATTGGGTTCAGGTCAAAAAACCGGAGTCACGCTACATCCTCGGATAAAACTTGAAGAGGTTCGCCTTGTTCCAGGGTTGTTCCCCAAACCCTCACTCTCGCGTGCGCGACGCTCCCTCCCTTCCCCCCATTCCGCGTCTCGCTTTTTCTCTCGCGTGCGCAGCGCGAGGAACGACGCTATCTCTCTTTCTCTCGTTCTAGTTTTTCTTTCTCCCCGGTCTCACGCGCAGAAACCACCACTATAGACGAGCGATATCCGCGTGCGCAGATAATAAACGAATACGGCGACCAACAGCGGCAAATGCAACGTACTATGCACCGTGATGAAAGACGTAGTCTGACATACCTTGTCTTTCTTCGACAGGCTCAGCATTATGTGTAATCAACGGTATTGAAAACACTATCGAATTAAATACATAAGCTAGCGAACACGTACGTGTACGTTACGTGCAACAGCCGCACGCGTATCAACGCATCTCGTAAAACGCGGACCAACGAGCCGAAGCCACGGCTCGCGCTTGCGGTTACCATTGGTAGCCGGATTGGAAAGCGATTTCTGATTGCTCGCATATGTTGTACTTCTTCCACGTTCTCGCTCGCAAGTTAAAGGGCCGTCTACAATGGGAGTAGGCAGTATAGAGTAAAGCCCCTTGCACAATGAAAGGAATAGCGATAGCGATAGAAATAACAAAAGTTTTAAAGAGTTTATATTTAAAAATAAAGGTAGGAACAGCGGAATCTAACATACAAAACATGTATCAATGCAGATCAGAAAATCGGAATAAGCAATAGCGATAAAATTTCCGACGAGTTGGAATTCTGTGTTAAAAACTGTGTTATTTCTATCGCTATCGCTATTCCGTCCATTGTGCAAGGGGCTTAAGGTTCTTGGAGTTATTTCATTTTTGTCTATACAAGTAATTATTTCGCGTTTTTTTAACACGCGTTTTTCATTGACCAACAGTAAGGCAGTAGGCAGTGCGAAATGGGAATTGCCTATTTCGTTATTCCCGTTGTTACTTTGCCGAAAAATAGTTTAGGCCTTGTTTATGCGGGCAATAACCTTTAACTTATGCCAGAACCGGTAGAGTTTGACTATAGGATTTCAATGCTTCTGTTTATACAAAATTGCCGAATGCGTATAAACAGAAGTATTGAAATCCTATAGTTGAACTTTATTGGTTCCGGCATAAGTTAACGGTATTGCCCGCATAAACAAGGCCTTATGGCTTTCCGTTAAATTAGGAAAGATGCGCGAAACAGGAATTTTTGTTTGCTACAGGCATAGACATATAAGAAATAGACTGCGCGTCCCGTATCTTTTCTGTGCAGAAAGAATGGTCAAACTTCGGACGAGGATAGATGCTTTCACCCGAGTCTCTATCCTTGTTTAGTGACGCGGTGATTGGCGGACAAGAAAAGTAGTAGGAATG